CTCAAATGCAATCTATCTCATCCCCACCATAACGGGCCAACAGCAGTGCCATTACAGTTACACCGACGAAACAGGATGGTTTCCACGTTTAGTGATTAACAATGAGTCAAGTGCCTAGCCAGAACACTTTTAGGGATTGAACAACAGTCAGTCAATGAATCATCGTTGAAATCCGAGGAGACGGTTGTCAAACAGTTAGCAGAACGATGTCAATTCGAGGCAGTGCTTTCCAATGGGTATGTACAGCCTCCTGTTTAGTGCACTTCACTGGATATCGTGGCCAACTCCCACCACACCTCATCGGTGGCCGTAGTGATGAAAATTCGCTTGGAAACATCCACTTTGAAAGGATGATCGCACCCAAGTTTGGTTTTACCTACCATAAATTTACTGCAGAGCTATTTCTTGCACTTATTTCAATTTTCTTATGACATTCGCAGAGTAATCACTGCTTAAACCAGGCCCACGTATAAGGCTGCCTACTTTGAAATTTGCCATCTGTTGCGAAAAGACTGCCTGTTTTGGCTTCTACTAAACGTAATGCGACAAAAGTGACTCTAAAATCCGCTGAATTTACCAATATAGTTAGAAAGGAGCAAATTGCGATCGTTTATTAGCTAGTACTAGTACACACCTCCTTTTCAAATCCTTCGACACTTACTTGGGATTCTGATATTCTCTCGTATTAAAAAGTGACCATTGACCTAACAAGGGCTGTTGCATTGTAGAAAGGGGAAGAAATGCCCTTAAATTTGGCAAAACAATGTATCCGGCAACTACCCAATACTTGATCTATTTTGTGGTGGAGAGGATTTAAAGAAATATATGCACACGCTTTAAGTAAACAGGCAATGTTTCTCTCGCACTTATTTGCTTGTTCAAATGCCACATCAGAAGTAGCCGGAAATCAAATTGAATTAATACTTTAAATCCTTATGTTGTATTTTTTTCCACTTAAAAAGCCATACAATCGTACGTATTCTGCGAAAGAAGGCGAAGATATGTCACCAAGGCCTAAACCAGTCATTCTTGTTAGAACGTGGTGTTGCCAATAGCACCCTAATGAAGACTTCATCACATTTAGGCATTCGACAACAATGTATGGTCCACTGGACTAGATAAGGAGGAAAAGAGGTAAAGACTAGACAAACACAATTTTCGAGCAAATAAGTACACTAGCTTAGCTCTGCCCGATCCACTGTTTTACAGATGCATTGTTTACATATAGACTACTCTTATTTTAAACAAATATGTTAGACTTATAGAAAGAAAGGTATGTTTACATATATGTGATTCAAAAGTAAGAATGATAGGGGGTTGATATCAAGATCCAGTTAAGCCGCCAAGAGGGAGCAACGGCGTTGAGGTCAAGTAGCCCCTCAGTTGCGTGCTAATTTGGTGACTGTCATGGTCGGCTCGTGGGTGTTTCTTTACTGCACTGACTGCGTTGCAATGGCTGACGCGGGAGGTTGGCCTGAGGGAGCGCCGGGGATGAGGCTCAAAAGAGGAGAGAGGCTATGTAATACGACAGTGGTTTATCCCTCGGTTCTGGTGAGGCATCACTGTTTGGACTTTGGGTTAGCCCCTTGTTCCACGCTGGGTGGGCTGGCCTTTTGGGCCATGCCACTAGCCCAGACACCTTCTCTGCGCTGAATATGTATATGTTCTGTCTGAGTATTGTGTCTTCTTTCGTCTTCAGAAAGTCTCGGGACGCTACAGTTAGACGTATAGAAAGAAAAGTATGTTTTCATATACGTGATTCAAAGTAAGAATGATAGGGAGGGGCGGTTGATATCAAGTTATTTTCGTCGCAAGAAGGATAAGCCAAGTATTTATGATTAATACCCTAAATCTAGACAGGCCTTTGAAAACTTACACAAGTATATTAAAATTAGTTTAGATAAAATCAACAACGCGTTAAAAATACACAAACATTTAATTTTGATGCATGCTTTTTTTTCTCTTGCTGTAAAATTTAATTTAAACGCTATTACAGATATCATAACTATGTTCTTTTAATAAGCACTGCCATTTTTGCATTTTCAACAAATTTTCTGAGACATTCCTGTTTGTTTGACTACACAGTTGTGTCATGCTTAAATGCTACCGCGCATTGCGTTAACTTGCTTTGACAGGCATGTTTGAACTTGTGGTGTGCAACAAGGCGTTTTTCCATCAGACTCATCGTCAGGAATGTAGGCGATTAAGTAGAGTCACTTGTGCTACTCACCCTTTTTTTTCACCTCGAGAGTCTGTATATAGGGAATATGGTGACTCCGCTGGTTGAAAGTCGTTTTTTTTTCTCTTGGGGAATATGTCTGTTGAACATGGGGAATAACCGAATGTGATCAATTGCCGTGAGTCTGCACTAGTTGCATTTGACTCGCCTCTGTTGATTGTGGAGTTCGTTTGCAACTTTACTGAGTGTGTCGAAGGCGTCCCTTCTAACCTGCAGTCTTTGTTACTTGGACTGCGTATACATGCTTCTAAGTGATGGGAGATGCGTAATCGACCTTTTTACTGGTATATGTAGACAGTCACACATGAATGCTTGACATAGCATTACCTCACTCGTCGTTTTCACAGATAGCAAGTGGGTGCACATTGGTGACAATTCCGTTATATGTGAAGACGGAGAATGAAAGAAGAGGCGGGATCCCCCCATAACCTGTATTCTGGCACTCATTGGATCTCCAGCTAGGGCTTCCTCTATCAAGGATTTCTGCAGCCAGTGGCTGAGAATGCACTGGTCACCGTTTGGGACTCGGCTTAGTCGGCTTTCACTTCTGTAAACAATCTTCTTTTCTTTTTCACATTGCTTGTATTCC